TTGTACATGGGCAGGCTATTCTTCTAAAAATATGGCATTATAGTTACATGTTCCTCAAGTCATTACCATACATGATTGTACATGCTTTCTCAGAAAATAATAGAATTGGTACTGCCTGGACCTTGAAGAAGGGTACATACCCCAAAAGCTCATCCTCAAAATTGTATGTTAGTGCAAATAAAAAAAGTATCACGGACAGTACTCAATTGTTTCTGTCGCAAGTGCACTAATACGACTACTATCACCTCAGAAAATAATAATAACATTAGTAGAAACAGAAATAGTAATTATAGCTGCTCTTTGATCAACATTTATCCTTCATTGTGCAGGACTACTAAAGTCCCCTCTGGGCCACTATCAGCATGACATGCCATTTGAATGGCATTCATAGGTCATGTCAGTGATGTTACAACAATCATTGCACCCAAGGGGGCCTAGGAATATAATTGGCCCCACTGGGGGAAGCACTGTCAAGGAAAAGAAAACATAGAAAATGAATGTGCATGTAAAGATAATACAAATTCAGTACCATATGATTAAGGATTGGAGAAGTTGCTGATTACACTGACCCTGTACCCCCAATCAAGAAGAGCCGATATCAGATGTACAGGACAAGACTTCAGAATTGTACAGAAGGAACTTTAGAATCGTTGTCACTAGTCACAGATTTGCTTTGCAGACTATGCAATAAGGAGAATTTCTTTAGCTGTGTAGTGTAGATTAGTAGTGTAGATTTATTTCCCCCAGAGCTTCTGGTCACCCTGGACAGTATTAACAATAACCCTGTATGCCAAAAGGTGGCCATACATGGATCGACATGTGTCTGGGTCAGTAGGGACCAGGTACATTTTGATCCACGTATGGGCAGGCTGATTGAACAAAAGTTGATCAGTAGACCAGCCTGGTGGGTTTTTCCTCATTGATCAGTGCTGCCAGCTATAGCCTACTAGTAATGGGTCTACAAGCGCTTTTTCCATATATCCAAGGATCCCCCCTTATTTATACTTCACTCCTCCTCTTGACCAGAAGCAACAAAATCGAGCCTAATGTCGTACAATAAAACAAAGCTATGTCACTTCCGCTACGTCATTTACAGCCAGCTTGAACACGGTCTTGCGGGAAAATGAGGAAGGGGTTCTAAGAGTGCCACATTGATTAATGTAAGTGCATATGCTTTGTTTGTTGTTTTTATGCAATAAAAGCAGGACTACAATATTTCTGGGTGTCTCACTATCTTTCTATTGATGTTGGTTCACTTGGAGTGGAGAATGAGCTACCGCCTCCTTTCTAAACTAGCTGTTCCTCCCACACAGGAACACCCATAAATTGGGCTTCAGAATGCAATGGAGCTGCAGCCAGCCTTAACCACTTGTCCTCCAGAGGATTTACCCCCTTTCCTGACCAGGCCATTTTTTGTGTTACGGCGCTGCGTTATTTTAACGGAGAATTGCACGGTCATGCAACGCTGCACCCAAATGAGATTTACGTCCTTTTTTCCCATGAATTGAGCTTTCTTTCGGTGGTATTTGATGGCATGTGCGGTTTTTACTTTTGCGCTATAAAAAAAAAAAAGAAGACCGACAATTTTGAGAAAAAATATATTTTGACTTTTTGTTACTAAACATGTCCAGTAAAAAAATTTTAAAAATCCAATTTCGTCATAAATTTAGGCACAAATTTATTCTGCTACATGTCTTTGCTAAAAAAAATCCCAATACGTGTAAATTAATTGGTTTATGTGAAAGTTATAGCATTTATAAATGGCAGTATATATACTGGGATTTTTTTTTTTACTAGTAATGCGATCAGCGACCTTAGCCGGACTGCAGTGGGCATTCTGACACTGGGGTGAACTGACTTGGTGTCACTGACACTGTACTCATGGCACTGGGCAGGAAGGGGTTAACATGTGGGGCAATCAAAGGGTTAACTGTGTGCTATTTTACTTGTGGTTGTGTGTGTGTGCTTCACTGTAAGTAAACTGCACAGCTGTGCAAAGCAGTGTGCAAGAGCTGACAAGGAGGAGAACTGTTTTGTTTACTAACAGTTCCCCCCCCCCATCGGAGATGCTTGCCAATAACCGGGCGCCAGCAAGTAATCATCATCCGGGACCCAGTGATTGACAGCCGCAGCCGTGTGATTTTGCGCACCCGTGCCACCCTGTAGTAGTATAGCTGCTATAGAGCGGACAGGAAGTGATTAAAGCAGAACTACACACTACAAACCAAGAACGCTATATGATTCATTTTTACTATTCAAAGCAAACTCATCCATATTCTCCATGCTTTGTTTTGCTGAGAAATCATTTTGAAAAACACCCGTTAGCATTTCTGACCATGGCCTTCTTGAGTAAGGGCAAATGATTCACGTAGCATTTACTTCCTGGAATCAAGCTGCCCTTAGCTCAGGCATGCACGCAGGAGGGTGTGCTTAGCTGAGAGAACCCCTCTTCCCCTCCTAAAGACTCCTGGGATGTGTGACATCATTTTGGCCTAGGCCAGAAACCAAGACGTAATAGAAGAAATGTAAAAAAAAAGTTTAAAACAGCAAAATATGATATACTTTCCTATCAATTTACTAATGCTAGCAGCATATGGATTAAAAATAGTCAGTGTTGATTGAGAGAGTAAAGTTCCGCTTTAAACAGAAATAGAGAGGTGCTTTTACTATGCCATGAGGCCAATGATCGGAACTTTAGGGTCCTTTCACACGGGCATTCCATTTTTTTCATCAGCTCAGTTCACATCCGTTTTTTCATCGGTTTACATCCGTTTTAATCAGCTTACATCTGTTTTTCATTCGTTCACAGCCGTTTTTCATCAGTTTACATCTGTTTTTAATCCATTTACATCCGGTTTTCATCAGTTCACATCTGTTTTTTATCAGTTCACATCCGTTTTTCATCAGTTCACATCTGTTTGTCATCAGTTTACATCTGTTTTAATCCATTTACATCAGTTTTTCATCGGTTTACATCTGTTTTTCATCCGTTTTTTTTATCAGTTTACATCTGTTTTTCATCCGTTTGTTTAATCAGTTTATATCCATTTTTTACATACTTTACCAATGCAAAAATAGACTGTATGTCCGTTTACATCTGATTTTGTCCGTTGACATCCATTTTTTGTTTGTTCTCTTTTTGTTTGAATGGAAGAAACATAGAGTTTTCTTCCATTCAAAAAAGCAGATGTTAACGGATGCGGATGTTAATGGATCCGCTAGTCCATAGAAATAGATTGATGTCTGTTTTTTTCATCCGTAAATGGACAGATGAAAAATGGACATACAGAACGCCCGTGTGAAAGGGGCCTTACTCTCATGCCCCAGGGGACGAAGTACATGTACCACTTGATCCCCTGGGGCAGTAAAGATAAATATTTTGGTGACAGTACTTCTTTAAAAGTGTTAGCAATGGAACACACTCTTTTTGTTTTGTCTTGAGCACTACTATCATCTTTCACAATCACTTTCCGCATTTGGAGAATATCTTCTATGATCTCTTTGAAGTAAAGCTGAAGATGTTCTAGTTATACTAGAACTGTCATGTCACTCAGTATACCAGTCATCTTTGTTTCTGCCCCTTCAGCGATGGGTTAATAGGTGTCTATAGGTGTTGTGTACAATATGGCAGTCTGGTTCACATGCATGAGGCTTTGTTTCCATGGTGACTGTTTCTGGGAGGAAAAATTCTTCATCTGCAGTTTCCGTGGAAACTGTTCCCTACTGAGACAGGTGCCTTGGAGGGAAACGAGGTGAATGGCAATGAGAGAGTGGTTACACGTCTCGCCAGCAGCGCACGCAGGATTGGATGTCACTAAGGCAGCCCTGCCATTCTGCTAGGTGCAATCTCTGGGAGGCAGAGCACTTATCTGCAGAGCCCTGAATATGTAATACTGCCCCTGAATGAAAGGAAACTTTGTGTGCGCTCTTATTCTAGATACTCCAGAGCCACAGATCACTGCAGACCATTGCTGAGCTCCCCACAACCCAGTCTCCTATACAGTGAACATTGCTTTCCATTGCATACTGTCTAGCTACGGTAAATACATTTCCATTTCTTCTTGTGTGGATATTGAAGTGGAGCAGTTCTGATCCATGCTGCCCCTCTTCCCATGAGGCCTAGAATGGTCTGCATGGGACAGTTGTATGTGTGCATGTATCGTGTATTTATTTCAGCACTGCAGGGGGACAATCTATGACTTTGAGTCACATATATGTTTGTTGATATCATGTAGCTGTCAGATTGCTTTGTAGCATCAGTTGACCAGTGGTGATGATAACATTGTAGCAGTAGATCATATCATATGAAAATTGATTTGTTGCGAATGTTTGCAGAGCTAAATATATAATACTGCAAAGTGCATTGTTTTCCAGCTGTTCTGCCTACCGCGTATGACGCAGAAACCGGTTTACGGTCAGAGAACAATTTCATGCTTCATCTGCTCCATGTTTTGTGCAGTCGTATTGCATTTATTTGCTGTTTGTCATGCACTCAGGGATTTATTTAATGACTTTGTAAAAAGGCGATAGTGAGGCTGCCCATAGACAGACAGATGTCTGACTTAGAACGGAGCGGAGACATCTGCCTGTCTTTAAACCTGTTAGGGCTTGCCGCAATCTTCTGTCTGACCTGGCTGACAGGTAAATGATCAGTGATCACTTCATTCAATTTCTGCCTAGAAAAAAGAATCGGAGGGATTTCCCAACAAGCTGAATAAAGAGTATGCCATATGGCCAGAGGTGCTTGTTTTCACTGTCCTCACTTGAAAGTCACCAGGCAGTGCTTAGAAATAGAAAATGCAGTGCATAATGCATATATATATACATGAAAACACTGAATATGCCTTTACATGACTTAACAGTGACAGTGTTATGTAAAACAATAATCCACGAATCCACTGAATGTGCACTTACAAACCTTAAAAGTGATAGTGTAATATAAAACAATGATCCACAGTGCTTGTAAACGCTTACATGGCTGTATATGGACAGATATATTCACAATTATATCCACACTGCTTGTGACCACTTTTGTATAACATCAAACGTGATGGAAGTCCCTATATAATCCATGATGACTTTATGTGACCAAGTGTATTTACACCGCTATATTCTATTGCAGCATTTATCAACCTTTTTTCGATCAAGGCACCCTTTAAAATTATGGACAGTCCCGAGGCACCCTTTAAAATTATGGACAGTCCCAAGGCACCCTTTAAAATTATGGACAGTCCTGAGGCACCCTTTAAAATTATGGACAGTCCCGAGGCACCTTTTAAAATTATGGACAGTCCCTAGGCACCCTTTAAAATTATGGACAGTCCTGAGGCACCCTTTAAAATTATGGACAGTCTTGAGGCACCCCATTCTAAAATGGGGTGCCTCAAGACTGTCCATAATTTTAAAAGCGCACCCCCTTTCTAAAATGTTAAAAACGATTCTAATAGGTTTATGTAACACAGCAACATCCACACATAGAGGTGATTTATTCTTCCAAAGCAAATACACTTTTGCACATTGGTACTGAGTAGTACTCCAGTGTCTCTCTTCTCCCTCAGTTTTTCTCCTTCACTGAGCTAATGTGACCCCAGCACTGATGGAGAGGGGCTGGCGAGGGTCAAACTAGGATGCTGTGCAGGTAGCTGACATCCTCCTTATCAACTGATGATGTCATTGGTTGTTAGGATGCTGGCGGCTAGAAGGTCTTAATGGTGCACAATGAAAACCTGTGGCTTTGTGTACCTAAAAGGCAGGCTTGTTCCACCTGCTGGCTTGTATACAAATGTTGGGCAATTTTTAGACATTTTGCCAAGGCACCCCTGAAGAAACCTCAAGGCGCCCCAGGATGCATGGTCACCCTGGTTTAGAAAGGCTGTTCTAGTGTACAGTGCTTCTGTGACACCCCTTTGTGCTCCCAGACCTTCAAACACCTTAGCGTTTGACCCATAATGACAGGTCAAACTACACTTTTCCCTTTTAACTTGGGCAGGTATATGTAAAGTACAACTTCTTCCCACTCTTTGCCAACACCTTATAATGAATCCACTCCACAGTCATGTAGAGAAAAAACGCTGAATATAGTGTAGTATGTTCAACAAACCCAACCTTTATTATAAAAGAATGCACTCACATTAAAATGTGTCCTCCTGGAACACCGCAGTGTAAAACTCACTGACACAATGATCTCCAGTGTATTTGGTTGCTGTTATCCCACTTGCAAAATGGCGGCACATAGACTTCTGGTTTGCGACTTGATGTTATTGGCCCACCCTATGCGTTACGTCACAACACATGACTTCATCAGGAGTACAAGGCAATGCTTACACTGGTTAACATTGGGTCATACATAACCAGCTTGACCCAAAGCAGCTGGACAGATTGTAGTAGTTTAGTTAGATAATTGTCATCTACTTGCTAAGGGATACGGCACACTCAACATTGTCCCTTGTACAGATTATGTAACAGCAGTAGTGTGCAGATATCATGTTATCAAAAATAATTATGGGAAAAAAGTAGTCCTCCCTGTCCTATACCCTTTATCTTTACTTATATACACTTTTCTTGGTCCAAGCTATTCTGCATCATAAAATATACCCTCACCAAGCATATTAACAGAGAGGTAAACAGGCTTATAGAATCTCTTCTTTTTTAGTTCCCACTGCTTAGTAACTAGCAATCTAATCAGAGTGGTGGGTACCTAATATCTCTCTCTCTCTAGCATTCTATAGAAATAGGCTGCAAAATTTCAGGAGCTCCAAACAATGATCTCTACCTGGAGACTGCAAATAATTGTTCAAAAGGACACATTCAAAGTGAATTTAGTATTATGTTCTGTAACATTGATCTGGACACTGGTCATTTTAGACAATTAGTGAATTGCTAGATGTCCACTTGCTGCATTGTGGTGACCAAGATTAATGTCTTGATGGCATTGGTATCATTTTATCCATCATCCATTTTATTTAACTGTCTGTGTGCTTCTGTATGTACTTAAGGTTGTTTATAAATGAGCCAATTACAAAGCTCAGTGCACCAAGGAGGATCACAGTAAGTGTGGCAGTATGGTCTACTGTACCTCGTCTGCGGTAATAATTTCCTGTAGGTACCCAGACTTTTTACCTGCAGCAAAGTCTCCTTAATGGGATGTTCAAGTGATAATGAACAATTTCAAGTCATAATGAACAATTTCAAGTCATAATGAAAAATTTTACTTTAATAATGAGAAAAACACTACCCAGTAATACAAAGTAATTCAAAATAATGGTAATAATATATAAAGGTCAAAAAACCATGGTCAAAGTGATAATCTCTGGTGGCTAAAAAAAAAGTTGCTCAACTCAGCTGTTTGCATCAATAAAGAAGAGCCTTAAAGGAAAGTACAGCCAAAGCTCTTTTGGCTGTACTTCTCCTGTGGATCACAGGAGTGCAGTTCGTTCTGCACTCCTGGGACCCATTTTCTGCTGACAACAGGCTGAAGCCCACTGTCACCTGACATCTCTCGAGAAAGATCCTGACTTTAAAGTCCACCCCAGAGTTTGGAGTGGAACCTGGCTCAGCCTCTCAGCAATCTGCTAAGAGCTTGATCCAGCTGCTCCCTCCTACTCCAGCGCTCCAGTGAGTGGGGGGGGGGCGTGAGAGAGAGAAAGCGGTGACTGATAGTCACAGCTCTCTGCTCAGAGCAGCTGTGAGAACTCAGCGATTAGCGGTCATGTGATAGCTGAGTTCTCACCCTTAGAGCCGGCGGATGTTGCATCCACATAGCTAAGTATAATTGGGGAAAAAAAACAAAAGTATTACTTTTCTTTTAAGCTGGCCAGACACTGTTTGAATTTAATTCGAAAAATCATGACAAATTGTTCATCAAAGGACTGGATCTTGCCATTATTGAGTCAACTAAAGCCCTTAAAATTTAATTTAAACTTGAGGCCTGAATGGTATTCCAGACAACTGAAACAGGTTTCTTTTGTGCCTAGAGCATGCAGCTCATGCTCGAATATTCAAATATAACAAAAGCTCAACTGAAAACTTCGAACAGAGGGGACAATTCACTAAGTGGTATCTTACAACATCTGAGCATGCGGTAAGATACCGCACAGCTACTAAAAAAAAGCTGAATATAAAAAGAATTGCAGGCACTGCCTTGCAACTACATTTTTTTTTAGAAAACCATGTGGGTTCCCCCCCCCATCCATACCAAGCCCTTCGGGTCTGGTATGGATTTTGAGGAGAACCCCACGCCAAAATTTAAAAAAAAATGAATTGACGTGGGCCCCCCCCCCAAAATCCATACCAGACCCTTATCCAAGCATGCAGCCTGGCAGGTAAGGAAAGACAAGCACCCCCCTTCTGAACCATACCAGGCCACATGCCCTCAACATGGGGGGATGCTTCGGGGCAGGGGGGCTCCCCGCAAAGCACCTTGTCCCCATGTTAATGGGGACAAAGGTTTCTTCCCCCAAAACCATGGCCGGTGGTTGTGGGGCAGGGTGTTTATTGGAGTCTGGAAGCCCTCAGATCCTGGCCCCCCCATATGAATGAGTATGGGGTGCATGGTACTGCTACTCATTCACAAAAAAAAGTGTAGTGTAAAAAAAAATAATAGTAGACAGTCTTCAAAAAATCCTTTATTCAAAAAAAAAATGTAAAAATGTCACCCGAAGTAGATCCAACATCAATCATGATGCCCGTTGCCACCACCAACTTGAAAAAAGCAAAAAAAAAAAAAGCACTGTTCTCAACGCTGTCTGACAGGTGCACCAGGATGACAGTTCTTGGTTCTGTGGTCAGGTGTATTGCTTTGGCCAATCACAATGCACTCTCAGGGTGCAGTGCATTTTGGGGTGCGGTGGGCGAACAGCCCGCCGAACGCCCTTACCGTTCATGTGTTCGCCGACAGGGCTGCTGTTAGATATCATGGGGCCCCGTAGAGCATACCTGACAGGGCCCCCCCCCCCCCCCCACCGCCAGAGAAAATATCAAAATTATACTTATGGTAAAAATACACTAAAAACTTTATTAATGGACACAATCCCAACCACATCCCTGTTAAATCTAAATGATAAAACTGTACTGAGTTAATAAATAAAGCTGTGTGTGTAATTGAGATCTTGGGGCTCATTCACATGGGTGCTGTGGCCTGTACAGTGTGGTTTATTTATGTGGCTGGAGCCACTTGGAGCTGTTTGCAGGCAACCTACTGTATGTTACACTATGGAAACGCTGCAGGTACTAATTTGACATGCATCTGTGTGAATGTGGCATTTTTTTCCTCAGCCCATTCATTTCAGTGGACTGCCTAACGTGGGAACATGCAAAAGTACTGCAAGCATATTATTTTAAAAGTATGTTGCACCTAACCACACAGTACTGTGGTACCATGCGTTTTGGTGGCTGTGAATGCATCTGTGTTTACGTGATGTGTGGAGGTGCAATTAAGTATTCATGTACCTGCGCACATCTGCAAAGGACGTTGCTTTGCTGTGCAGGAAAATGCATGCTCTTGCATGCGTTTCTGCACCACAAATGGTGTGAACAAGTCCTAGTTCACACTATATAAATGCAGTCTAGATGTGTTCCTGATGTGTTTTTCCATGCGCATTTCTTATGTGGTTTTAGTGTGTTCCGGTGAAATTTTTTATGCATTCCAGTTCATTTTTCCCCCTCTCTTTTTCTTCAATTTAATTAGGGACATGCGCATTTTTGATGCGTTCCGGTGTGTTTTTGATGCATTTTACTGTGTTACAGTACAGTTCTGTGCAAAAAAAAAACGCAGCTTGTGCTACTTTTTTTTGCAACTGGAATGCACTGGAACTGCAAGCACTGATGTGAACTATGACATTGACAACCATATAACCTACTTTCTGTGCGTTTTGATGCAGAAAAAAAGCAACTGAAAAGCATGTAGTGTGAAATGGCCCTCAAGGTTATTATAGGTAAGGGAACAGGATTGACCAGGAATTGTGAATTCAATCAGACTAGTGCTGAGATACAATTAGGAATCTTACAATAATGCTAGATCTGAGCTGTAGGTGATAGGAATTGGGACACATTAACTAGATCAGTAAATACATAGTTAAATAAAAGGAGTTTAGCAGTGATATATAGGTTTGCAGAGGGAACAGGTGATGACAGTGGGGGGGGGTTGTTCAAGTTGTATAAGGAGAGAGGTTTGTAGCAACAGAAAGGGATCAGTCTGGGGCGGGTGTCGGCAACCCGCGACTCTTTTTCACCTTTGCTGCGGCTCCGGAGCACACTGCCCACCAGGTGACAGGCAATAGGGTTGCCGTAGCTCAGTGGTCGGCAAGCCGCGGCTGTCATTGGCTGTCAGGATGTAGGCGGGGGCAGCGTGACAAACTCCTCTCCTCTCACAGTTCGCCCTGAAGACCGGAACGGCGCGGGAACACGGCGAGAGGAACGCGCGGAGCAAA